TTAAAATGACAAGATTTGTTAAGTATATATCAGTTCCAAGAAACAATTGCTAACAACAAAATTAAGAAAGTAATTTAAATCAAACACAGTGGTTCAAATGTGGCAACTTTTTTTCTGATAATTTCATTTTTAAAAGATAATTTTAGTTTTATAAGGACTTGTAAATGATTTAATCATTAATAAAGTCTCTTTCAGCATATTTAATATATAATACCTCTATCCCATGATATCACTAGTTTTCAATGTTATATAACCATTAGGTATTTCTTTATTTTACATATCATCACTTTAGTGCAGTAACAGGTTAACTCGTTATACAAGATGTATGATTCAATAGGAGTTAACCGGTAACTGTACTAAGGTGATGATACATGTATGTGTGCAGTCTGCAAGAAAAACTTTTTATGGTCATAGACATTCGGGCTTTTGTCCATCAAAATATCATACAGTCCAAACAAATTTTAACTAGCCTGAAAATTCTTACAAAAGTTCTGGCCAGGTTTTCAAATTTACTTATAATGCAAAGTGATATCACTTAATTAACATTTATTTCTGATATTCTTAAACAGAGTGTACTGTGAGTAGACTGAAACTCAAGGGTCAAATGATTTTATTTAGCTTACCCCTCAGGGTCATAGCTTACTTGGAAAAAAATCAATATGCATATCATATCCCTCTCCATCATTATAAATACAACAGGCATAAATGATTCTATATATATAAATTATTTCTACAAAATTTTGTGCTAAATACCTTGAAAAAAAATTAATATTTCCCTCAGTCATTGCATTTGTATTTTTTTTTTATCTCAAAACTTTGCTGGACTGTCGGACTATGCTCCCTACATTTTATACTAGCCTGAACAGCATTTTACTAGACTGGGACCGGGCTTTGCCTATTTTTAGCAGACTGTGTGTGATAAATTATCAGGATATCATTTTCACCTACACATTACACAAGAAAAATGGCAAACTAAGTGCACATCAAACATCAAAATGATTTCATTAATTTCAATGTGTTGAGTCACGTGATTTAAAGAATCTCATATTTATTGTCATATCATATAAAATTTGTTTAAACTTGGTTAAGAAAATGTTTTACAGTGTGTCTTTGCTCCATTCTTTAACATTTATTTTTACTTATGTATAATTCTTTTATGTATGTGTAAAAAAGAGACGTTGTTAGAAATATTTGATACAATAATCTTCTTTTTTATTTATTTTTTAGAGGGTGGAATCAGTGAAATGGTAGATGAACTAAACAGCTCTAAGATTATGTATGCATTCTGTAAAGTGATGGATCCAAATACAAATCTGCCAAAATATGTTCTTATTAGTTGGGTAGGTGTTATTATTGTTATAGATAATAATTATAGTCTCTTTGTAAATTTGTTGCAACAGCGTTGACTTTTGATTAAAATCCTAATGGATGTCATTAACAATAACTGCATGCCTCAAGATGAGTCAAACTATTTCAAGAAATCAACCTTGACGAAAATGTTCTAAGATTTTAAGAAATGTAAAAATATTCACAATTAAGAAATGATTTACATATTATATGCAATAATTATGACTGATTTGCAGTATTTATTGCCATATTGCAGTGTGACTAATGCAGTATAGGCCATTTTTGCATATTTTGACCTATTTTTGGTAAATTTCTTAGATTTTGTATAGTACCTTTAGCAGAGTGAAAATGACTTTCTTTGTACTCTTAGCAATATTTTACTTTTTGATGCATTTAAAAAAAAATCATGAAAATTAGCATAAAATCTGGAGGCATGCTGCTTTAATTCTTAAATTTGATACTGAATACTGCTTGACGACCACATACTTTTTATACAAATATTAATGGGCGATGTACTTGCCCTGGATATCAAATTATTTCATGTGAGACGGCCATACACCTAGGTTACAGAGCATCTTCCTTGACCTTTACTGAACAGTTAAACATGCTAGTTTAGCTTGAATCAGTAGAATCTATGAAATATAACTACCGAATGAGATAGGGCATCAGGTCTGAACCACTCAGTCCCACACTGTTGTGGGTTCAAATCCAAATACCGGTAGGGATTTTCAATAATTTCATGCTAGCTTACAGAATGTCAGCGTTTCTCAGTGGTTCTACTCAGATGCCACTTTGTGCCTGATATAATGATATTATACATGGAAGAGGGAGGGGACTTGATGTCTTCCTCCGCCAGTAAACAGGAAAGTAGCCATATGACCTGTACAGTGTTTATGTGAGTCAAAACCAAACAAAAAACAAAACCAAAGTTTTGCAAGACTTTGTTTTTATCATTATTATACAATCAAGTTCAAAGTTTGTATTTTGTAAAGTATGTGATACATGGCAATTAAAGAGATTCTGTTGTACAACATACAATGTATATATGTTTTGTATTGACAGCAAGGAGAAGCTGCACCAGAATCTATGAAATTTAAATGTGCCAATCATTTAAGAGATGTTACACATTTTTTTAGGGTAAGTTAACCAATAAATGTTTACATGTATAAGTAAAATATCTATTTAAAAGTAAAATTTGTTTATTTTATTCCATTTGAAGGTGTATTTTTTCTAAATCTAACATGTGGTTGCAATATTGCAGCTTTTGAAGGCTTAGAGCGCTGGGCCTTTGCATAGTTATTTCTGAGACTATAGAACTGGTATTTTATAGTGTAGTTACTTTATAATTATAGCATTAAAATTAATACTGAAAAGCAATGGACAAAGCAAAATTCAATGGAGAGCAAGTTCGTAATTAAAAACTTTGCATGGTAAGCAATTACGGCAACAAGGCATATTTTTGTGGCATGATATATAATACTTTTGAATGTTTGTTTAAAAGAACCCATAGGAACACTAAATTCTTAAATAAACACAAAGATGCCAACTTAACTTTACTTTTATTTATGTGTTTCACAATAATTCCTTTACAATGGTAATAATAGTTATTTGAATTTTACTGTTTTTACAAAGAACTATCAGAAAATGGCATATTAATAAGTGGTTGAAAATACTTTTTTATTTAAAGGCAATTTTTGAATAATAAACTAGAAAATGAAACCTCACACAGTATATAAACGAAATCACTGTACCCTGTCTTGCAAGCCTATATGTTTGTGTACCATGTCTTCTGATTACAAGTACATGTTACTTCTGATCACTGTTCCTTTCTTGGGAATCTATATATTTCAACTTGAACCTTTCTTGTGATAACAGGAAGTAGACTTGTTTATATACTGGGAACCTTGTCTATAGAAAATGTATGACTGTCTGCCTGAGAAAACAACCTATAACATCATTTAACAATTGACGTCAAAAGTATCATCATGCTTAAGATATAATATATATGAATAAAGTAACAATAAGCAAATTTCAGAAGATATTATTTATTTCAAGAGCAATAGAAATGAATATTTTTAAGAATCAAATATGTCAATTTATAAAAATAGTAAATGACGTAATTGGTTGTTTTTCTCCTGCCAGAGGTCATATGCTATATATTATTGGAAAATTATATTTATTTAAAGTAAATATATATGATAGGGTGTCCATGTCACAATCAATGCTAGGACAGAGGATGATCTAGATGAAGATGACATCTTAAAGAAAGTTTCCAAATCGTCTGGTTCCCAGTACAGTATTCATCATGAGAAAGCTAAACCTCAGGAACCAGTCGCCCCTGTGGTAACTATTTCTATTTGTTTACTAGCTTGAAATTTCCAGCTCCCAGGATGCTTCAGGGGGTATATCTTTACTTCAATTTAGAGTAATACAACTCGGTGGAAAAGTCAACCATGTATTATTCTCTCTGTAGCCATATAAGTGCAATAACTGGTTAACAGCTATTAAATTTAGAAGGACTTAACCCGCTACTGCACTATGTTGATGATATGCTGTTATTTTTATGCCTAATAGTTACATCATTATTACATTTGTATTTTGTGGTTTATTGTAAGTCAAAGTTTTTTGATGAAGCTTGGCTGATGTATTGATAGGTAATAGAAGTTATTTTCAGGCAATGCTTTCAATGATTTTATGGTACTTTGTTGTTCTTGACAAACCCAAGACAGAAAATTGCTCTAGATATTTAAGATATTTATTTGAATAATGTTCATTGATTGTCATGTTTTCAACCAATCCCATTTTCTGATGCAGGGTTCAGTTTACCAGAAAACACAGGCTGCTAGAGATATCAACATGAAAAGGAGGGATCAATTCTGGGCACAAACAGAAGTAAGGACCTTTTCTTTGTTATTGTAATTTTAATCAAGCGAATCACAGGTGTTCCTGTATCATATTTTAATCACTCCTGAAATTAATTTAAGCACAGTAATGTCCCTTATTTTTTCTGCGCTGTTTCAATGCCCTATTGGTAAAAGGTATTTTTTAATTTTGAACTTGGATAAATAGAAAATAGAAATATGATTTTAATATGGTTGATAACCCAGAAAATATGATATTAAAAGGGTTGGTAAATAGGGTTGGTAACCCTGAAATATGATTTAAAAGGGTTGGTCAGAAATATGATTTTAATAGGAAAATAGGGTTGGTTACCCTAAAATTAACCTATGTCAAAAAACAATACAAGTAAATGGACTTTGGAGACAATATTCAAGAATCTTGACCAAGTTCCATTTCTCTTGACTTGTAACATGTGGCAATAAATGCTTTTACTTCTTGTGATAATTTTGTATTTTATGTAGAAGTTGGTTGAATGATTTTTTTTCTAAACAACTTAAGATATTAAAATATATTACAAATAAATATTAGACAGACGAACAAAAGAGGATTGAGGAGGAAAAACGAGCAATGTTACAACGCCAGCAGTCTTTTGAATCGGAACGTAAAGCGAGAGAGGTATTTGCTTGGGTGTCGTGTAATTTACTAACTTGGTGATTGGACATGTAGTGAATAACGAATGCTCTCACTATATTGTAGCTGTACTGTTGTTTATTTTATTCTTCACTCTCCATTCTGTTTCTGCTTATTGATTGGTTGAACATAATAACTGATACTTAACAACAGAACACATGACAAGAATTTTATTTAACAGACAGCCTGTCTGTATAACATCGATTTTCATTGGACAGTTGGGATATTTAATTTTTATCTATGTAGATATACACTCCTTTGCCAATTGATTAATTCATATCAGTTTTGATCAAAGAAATACACAGTAGAACAGTATTATAATTTTGCCATAAAGATTTTTTACGTGTTATATATCATAAAATCATGAAATATATGATTAGGCATTTTTTGCTGTAACTCCATCAAGGTTATATAAGCTGGCAGCCATTGATAAAGAGTCATATAACCTGTAGACTATTTATAACTAATGATATCCATGTTATATAGAATTTTGTGAAAAAGTTCTATGTTTTTTTGATGATTTTTGAATTCTTCACTTTTATTACTTTGAAAATGGCAAGTGTTATTACCAAACCATTGCCACCAATAGCAAGCCAGGACAGACTGCACTTACCTTCAGTTTGACAATGTTGTCAGTTCCAAAATATTATAATTTTGAATATTGAAATCCCTAAACTTGAACTATTATTGGACTGTTAGCTAAACTCAAATAAGGACAAGTCCATTATACAAATTCAGTTATTAAAGGAATTTATATAAAGGATTTTATTGAAGACTGCGTGCTAGTGCTGGAAATAATGTAAGATAGGGCATCCGATGTGTTACTTCACCGGTTTAGCTGGAAAGGTTCCATATGACCTCAAAAGTGTTGATCCACCAAAATAAACAATCAAATAAACCTGCAAGCCTAAAAAAATTATTTTATGGACATTTCTCAGATTACCTGTACCTATTAACTTTTGCATGCACATTTTTTATACATAAAAAGTAGAAATAATCTATCTAGCCTTTATTTCTTGATTTCGCTGCGTAAACTTGTATTTATACATGTACATGTTTATAGTATAGACAGAATTTAGACTATACAATGCTGATATGGTGAACTTTTCTTGTCTTGATTTAGACACTGGTCATTGGCTTCTATATAGAAAGGGTAGTAGCTGTATTATATAATAAGGGTAGTTGCTATAATAGTTACCATTTTATGTAGTGTAGATGTCTGTACATCTGTATACTCAAGACAAAGATTTTTACAACTTGCATTATGCCTTCTGTTTATTGTGTAGGAGGCAGATAGTGTTAAATCTCTTCTGTTTTCTACTGCATGTCAAATGTTTGAAATTATTCAGTCATGTCATACAAAATAATTAATTGAATGGTATATTAGAAATAAATTATAAATGTCTGTTAACTTTCATTTATTTCACAGAATAAATTTTGCCATGGCTTAACTTAATCTGTTTTTAATCAAGTGACTTAATTAGTCCTTTCTGAAAACTTTCATAATAGATTGATAAGTTCTTTTCGAAAACTCATATTTATTAAATACATTCTTTTTTACTCTTTCTTATTTAATCAATTAATTCTTTTTGAAGACTTTCTTATTTTATCAATAAAATCTTGCAGAAGACTTTCATGTTTGCCTTTCTTTTTGAACACATGTTAACCTATTTTACGTAAATGTTGATTTCTATATATTGTATAAGCATTTTGGTCAATATTATTTTTTATGTTGTACAGTTTTGTTAAATTTGTTTAATATTCATAATATATTTAGTAAATTTTACAGCATGTTTTGTAAAGTAGACTTTCGTATAACAATCATAACTTTTATATTATATGTATACACAGCTTCTTTAAATCTAATTTTCATTATATTCAAGAAGAGCCCAATTCTACGTGTACCGTATATTAAATCTGTCATAAGAACTTTTTACATGTTTTATGGCCATATACAAAATTAAATGCTAGTTTAAAAGGCTTCGGGTTATAGGAGCTAACTTACAGTTATGTATTGGGTCATATAACCTTTCAGAAACTTAATATAATACAGGATAGTGCTATTCATCAGTTTTGCAAAATTAAATGCATGTATTTAGCAAATTAGATAAATATTTTTATTTTTTAAGATACATCACAAGTAGATTACAAAATAAGAAACATACATATATTTCATAATTTTTCTCTCATTGCAAGTAATTTACAAAAAATCATAACATTTTTTCACTTGCAGTAATCATATTATAATATGTTGAGTTTTAACCCTGACAACTAGTGGTAACTGGACCTACCCATGCTACCAGTGCAGACTAAGTTCAGCCTGCACATCCTTACTGCCTGATCATGGTTGACAGTTTTTATTTTAAAATATTCCCTAAAATAATGAATGGTTCTGTCCAGATTAAATGAAGGACAAGTCCATTTAAGAAATTTAGCTTGATAAGGATTAAATTGCTAGACACGCTGGATAAACAATGAAGCATTTTTGTCTTTAGAAAACTTCCCTATACAAGGAAGATAATGTTGTGTTTATTTATTGATTGTTTGTTGACATTTCTTTATTTAAACTAGTATTTATTTCACAATCAAGGAAATTAAAACTGCTCATACTGTTTGTCATTCATGAAATTTTGTTGGTTAGTGGTTAAAGTGTCTGCCTCTCAACCCAGGGATTTATGGTTTAAGCTTTTCCCAGGCCGCAGTTATGTTTTCCCATAATATTCAGATTAGTACTGGTCAGACTTGAAAGTGATTAATACACTTAATAATACACAAGTTTTAAGAACTAAATACAGTCAAACATGTAAATAAAGGCCACCCAAAGGAGCTACCACACATGGTCTTTGTAGACAAGTGGTCTTTATTTGGAGTTTACTCTGTTGTATTTTTATCAAAGAAGGTTTGTTAAAGAGTGGTCTTTTTTAACATGGTGGTCTTTATTCAGGGGTGGTATTTATCACAGATTTGTCTGTATATTGAAACAAGAATAAGATAAATATATATAATATATATATAATGGCTGAGTGGTTAAAGTAACCTGCTTTAAACCACTTGTCCTTCGCTGTTGTGGTTTCAAATCCAATCAGGGACTTTAAAGTAAGGTAAATTTCCAACTAGCTTACAGAAATTTGGTGGTTGTACTCAGGGGCCAACTCGTGCCGTGCAAAGAGGCACCTTAGATATTTCTACACCAATAAAGCTAAAAAGTTGCCCAATGACTTTTACAGTGTCATTGTGACTTTAGATCATTAAAAACACACACGCAAAAAAACAAAAAGAACAAAATTAAAAAGAAAACAAACAAAAAATCCCCCCCACCTGACCTCACAAAAGATACCATCTACAGCTTTATGTTTTATTAATGTAGGCTAAAGAACAAGAGTTACGTGACCAGCAGGTTCAGGAGAGAATGAGGGCCATCAGTCAGCAGAAAGCTGCCGAGAGAAGAGCTAGTCAGACAGATGATGAGGCTTCCAAAAAACAATGGGTGAGTTGTGGGATTTTCTACATCTTAGAAGGAAGGAAAGATGTGTTAATTTTTGGCCGGGTTGCACTGGTGCAAATCGGGGTTAAAGTATGGTGAATGTCGGGTGGCAGGTGGGCAGGCGGGCGGGCGGGGAAAATATTTTCGTAACAGTTTTCTCAGCAACTACTTATCACAGCCTCTTGATATTTGGCATACAGCATAGATACATGGTCCCATACCGTGGGATTTGATTTCAGGTCTGTCGCTCATCCACTTCCTGTTTATCCACTTAGTTAAATTTTTCGACATTAATGGTCAATGGTAGGAAATTTTCGTAACAGTTTATTCAGCAACTACTTATCACAGCCTCTTGATATTTGGCATACAGCATTGACACATGGTCCCATACCTTGGGATTTGATTTCAGGTCTGTCGCTCATCCACTTCCTGTTTACCCACTATTAAATTTTCGACATTAACGGGTCAATGGTAAATTTTTTTCGTAACATCACAGCCTCATGATATTTGGTGTACAAATGCAACCCGGCCTTTTCTGTCTTTGACCCATTTTTGACTACCCTTTTGACATATTTTTTGGTGGCATAAAAATGATTTACAATCTTTGAAATACAGGGTCATTGTTTTAATTGGTATAGTTATACATGTAAGTGTTATTTCAGGAGCATCCATGGCCAAGTGGTTAAGGTTGTTCACTTCAAACCACTTTCTTTTCTCATTGCTGTAGGTTCTAGCAATGCAAGCTTCTTTTGATTCTTTCATGTCAGAAAGCTATCCAGCTAGCTTATGGGACATCAGTGGTTCTACTCAGGTGTCAGTTTTTTGCCTGAAATGATGCCCGGAAGGAACTTGAGGTTTTCTTCACCAGTAAAGTTGGAAAGTCGCTATATCACCTTAACTGTGTTGATGGGAAGTAAAACCAAACCAAAGTAATACAAGTATTATTCGTTCATGATAATAGTTAGAATGATGGCCAAGATCCACACAATTCATTTGCTCTTGTCAGAGGTACTGGTACCTAAAATGAGATAAAAAAAATAAGATCAGGATGGCAAATCTGATTTACTGTTTAACTACTAACTGGAATAAAACATTTTCTTTTATGAGAAAGATTCTTCTACGTAAAGGAAGATTTATGCACTGTTAAGTTCTGTTTTGCTTGAGTTATTTATTGATTTCCCCTTATTTTTGTTTAAATGTTTTTACTTATACAGTGCTCCACTGTGTTTTTTAAATCTTCATAATTGTACACTAAGACTCATGTGAGTTTTAGGCAGTTTCTGTCTGTATAAAGTTAATCTTGAAAAGATCAGTCATATTGAGTTGTACGTCAGCCTTCATTTTTCCTCCATTATTGTTCTGAATTAAAACAACATTGTTTATTATTTTTTGAAATGGTATATTTGCCAGGAAAAAGAACAAGAGCAGGCTATAAGAGATGAAGAAGAAAGAAGGAAAGCTGGGGAACATGCTAGAAAGGAACGTGCAGCAGAAGCAGAAAGATTGGCAGCAAGTCAGACCTCAAGTGCTAGAAACTTCTTTAAACGTAAAGAATCACATAGTGAAGACCATGAACCAATACATAAAGCTCCACCTTCAGGACCAGGGTATGTCTTATCTTAACAATGAAGTAGAAAATGTTTGTACATATGTATTGTCACCAGGCTTTTTCCCAGGCTTTTTGGGAAAAGTATCTTGCCATGTTTTGGAAATTTGCGTCACTAAATTGCTTAATTGTGAAAAAATATTTGGTACTGTTTGAAACCTCCTTCATGCTCTGTTGGCATTATATGTATTTTGCAAAAAAATTTATTCCAACCAATGCAAATATCCTTAAAAGCATAATAACTACATTAAAATTTGACAGATCTGTCTGATACCATACTGGAATGAACTACAGAAAATTTTGCAGTTTTGATACTGGGAATTTTAGTTTGATTAAGTTTTGAAAGGTTGTGAAAAAATAAGCATTTTTGCCATTGGGCATTGGTTTGGTAATATCACCCATGGTGACACTGGGAAAAGGCATGGGACACTGTGGGATTCATACTGATGTACTAGATATTTATAGATCTTTGTTTGTTGAATAATTGAAATTATTTAGTTTATACAGAATTATCTTAAGCTATATCTGATAGACACTCTCTTGATTCTTTCCTGGAACCAACCAGTACTGAGCAATCTGTGTAAAACTTCTTGCTCAAGCCAACAACGGTTTCCTTGAGCCCATACTGCAAGTGATCCTTTGATTACAAGTCCTACATGTTAACTGATCTGCCTAGCTGCCACTTATCTAATCTAATGATTCTTTGTAGTAACTTATGCAGCTTAAATACATGTATTTAGCTTTAAATTTTGTGTTCTTTTTTTCAGAAAGTTAAAACACAATTTTGGTGGATCAGTTGACCAATCAGAAGCACCGACAAGGAAAGCACCAATTCAGTTACCGCGTGACCAACCATCACCACCACCTAACCAACCAGCAAGGCAGCCATCACCACCCCCTAAGAGGGAACCATCACCACCACCCAGGGAACCATCACCACCCCCAAGACAGCCCAGTCCACCTCCACAGAGACAACCTTCCCCTCCCCCACAGAGACAACCTTCCCCTCCCCCAAAAAGAGAGCCATCACCACCATCTATACCTACACAACAGCCACAAACACGAAATCTGCTTGCAGGAAGCCTGCCTCCAAGACAAGCGGACTCTGATGAGGAGGAAAATGAAGACGAAGACTGGGGAGAAGATGGTGGGTACTTCTTTTAGCTCTGTATTTTAACCCTATACCTGCCAAATTTCCTACATAGACTTGTCCAGCTTCCAATTTTGGAACAGTCTAATATAATATTAAGGGATAACAAGATGAAAATTAAATGTTAGTCAGGAAACAATACATGTATATAATCTTGTCTTTTAAGCTAGCTTACACTGGTAGCCAAGGCTTTTTACATTAAGTTTATGCAGGTTAAGGGATAATAAATAGAAAGAATTACTAAAAGGGTTATTAGTCATGTGAGCTTTGAAACTTAACTGTGTGTTTAATAGTAGGCTCAGCATAGTTGTCTTAAAAAAAATGTTTGCTAAGATTTTGCATGCAAATTTATGTTCAACAACCAAAGAAGTTCTTCATTTCAAATTTGAATTATCCCCCTTTTGTCAATTTCATAAATTCCTTGTATTGCTAATCTAGCACAGAGGTACTATTCAAAAGTCACTTTTGTAAAATACTTTACCAACAGCAGGCGTGGGGTTAAAGTGTATAAAGCTATAGCTTATGAAATATTTTCATAAAATCTGTAAACAGTAAAATAATAATATGTTCGATTCTGGAAACAGTTGTAGCATAAAGTATCTCTGCTTTTTAATACACATGGAAATTGCTCGTAAACAGAATAAAATGAGCCGTGTCACGACAAAACCAACATAGCGGGTTTGAGACCAGCATGGATCCAGACCAGCCTGCGCATTTTCGCAGTCTGATCAGGAACCATGCTGTTCGCTATCAGTTTCTTTACTTGTAATAGAGTTGGTAAGCGAACAGCAGTGATCCTGATCAGACTGCGCGGATGCGCAGGCTGGTCTGGATCCATGCTGGTGGCAAACCCAGTATGTTGGTTTTGACATGACGTGGCTCAAATGTTCTCGAACAAAATATCATGCTGATATTGTTAGTAACATTTTTACCATCCAATGCATTATTGCATGGTCATTTTGCCCTATAGGAAATAAACAAACATAATTATATCATACAGGTATTTTAAAAATATCCTTATTCAAACTCCAAGCAATAATTTTCAGCAGTTATAAAGCTTAAAACACTTTAAACATTTATTGATCATTATGTTTTGTGCCTTAATTTGTATGGCATAACGATTTGGTGGTATGTGTGTACCTATTTAATGATCATAATAATTTATACATATAATGTTAATAAATGTTTAATATCTATATAATTAAGTTTATTTTAAACATTATTTTCTAAACTAGGCAAACGAAAGATGAAAGGTAATGTTAGAATGAATGATGTAGAAATAAAATCTTCCTTTTGTTCTTGTGATCTTTACAGAAAAGCTGATATATAGGACATTCTTTTTATATTAATACTGCAGCTTACTGCACATTTGTAACGTCAGTTTTCATTGGTCCATTATAACATTTGTATGATCTATATATTCACTTCTGCTGCAATTTTATGAATTAGTTATTATTCTTTTCAAAGAATGTACTTATGCAGTATTTAGACAGGTTATAGGGTATACATGGTTGTGTCCTATATAAACCTTACCTTGTTGCTGTGGTTATATAAGATAACAACAGTGAATGTTGGGCCATAAAACTTGTCAAAATATTTACAACTAAATACATGTTTATATTGCTGAATAGTGAAATTTTAACTTTAACAATTACTTGAATTCTTTGCATTTAAGATAACATTTCATTAGTTTAGTGCCAAAATGATATTCATTTCATGAATATGATATGAACATTTCTGGGTGGTGTTTATGAATATGTTATGAACATTTCTGGGTGGCCTTTATGAGTATGTTATGAACATTTCTGGGTGGCCTTTATGAATATGTTTCTGGGTGGCCTTTATGAATATGTTTCTGGGTGGCCGTTATGAATATGTCATGAACATTTCTGGGTGGCTTTTATGAGTATGTTATGAACATTTCTGGGTGGCCTTTATGAATATGTTTCTGGGTGGCCTTTATGAGTATGTTATGAACATTTCTGGGTGGCCTTTATGAATATGTTTCTGGGTGGCCTTTATGAATATGTTTATGGGTGGCCGTTATGAATATGTTATGAACATTTCTGGGTGGGCTTTTATGAGTATGTTATGAACATTTCTGGGTGGCCTTTATGCATCTGTTATGAACATTTTGGGATGGCCTTTATGAATATGTTCTGAACATTTCGGGATGACCTTTATGAATTCAATATGTTATGAACATTTCTGGATGGCCTTTATGAATATGTTATGAACATTTCTGGATGGCCTTTATGAATATGTTATGAATATTGTTCTTTGTTTAAGTTAAAATATGTTCTTGCAGCATGTACTCAGTTATTTTATTTGTATTGCAAAAAGAAATTGCCAGTAAAATGAAGTCTGGAAATAATGAACTTTTCTTGATAAACTGGATAAAAAATAAATGCATGATGCATGTTTAAAGTATGGAATGAAATGTAAGCCTTTTCAAAAAATGTATATGATGTTTAGAACTCAGATGGTTTCCAGGAATAGATAAATGCATGTTTTTTGTAACAGACAACAAATAATCTTCAATTTCAAATTTTTTGCCCCTGAACATGGTTGGTGTGAAACCTGCAAGGGCCTTCAGATTGGTGTGAAACCTGTGAGGGCCTTTAGATTGTATTATTTGAGGTGGAAACTATCTAGCTAGCTTAGGGAGTGTCAGTGTTTCTACTCACTCATGTGCCTGCAAAACAAACAGTATAATGCATGCAGATCATGACAGATTTGCCCAATGATCTTGGTTTGCACTTGTGGCATTTGATACGAACTGGTTAAGGGTTTGATGTCCAGATACAAGCTACTACAGCACAATGTTGTGACTAATGCTGTAGGTTTGTTTGGGGAATGCAGGTCAAGTAAGAGGTTGTTGGGTAATGGAATGCACGGCTCGCACTTGCTTTAAACAAAACAATAGCCAATATTTTTAACTTAATAGCCTAAAGTTCATGAGACTATTCACGATTTTGCAAATAATATCATAAACAGTTGATTAAATATACATTTCATCTAAAACTTTATTCAGTTTTTTAAGGATGCTCAAATTAACTGATATACTAACTTTACTTTTTTCTTACATAAAACACCATGGCTTTAAGTATAGGTTAAAGTTTATTAGTACCTATTTACAAAATTTAATTGGTCAGGTGCGGCACAGCCGCAGGACCAATTTAACTTTGTAAATATGAACTAATAAATTTTAACTGGCTTAGTGTTTTAAATTATTTTTATAAACAGTTGATTTACTAGACTGATTAACAATTTGCCGATTTACCAAAGTAAAGGTGTTCTGATTCATTTGATATACTGCAGTCCTATTGGACAAAATATAATTTCAAACACTAATTGCAATTAAAGCTGTAAATAGAACAAAATAAAAGTGTTATATCATAGAATCACTGTATAACATTATTAATTATTCATTCTACATTTACTTAATGCTTGAGTATAATTATTATAGTATTTGCATTCAATAACAGTATCTTAGTTGTATTAAATTTTGTTCAGCTGAGTCAACTTGATTTATCAAAGTACACAAAGTCCTGTAGATGTTACTTACTTTAATATAGAAATTTATAATGCATGTCACTTTATTCTTTTCTTCAGACTGTGTGATTTTTGTATGTAAAAACTTAAAACTTTGCATTTTAATGAAAAAGTAAAAATTGCACAAATTCTTGATGATCTTTGTTTGGCTATAGTCTCCAGTCTCCAGTGTACTCATCAGCATTATATAAAACAAATATACCATTTCTTCATTATCACCAGTGCATTTTGAGACACTAGTTGTCATCTTTACTAATATCTAATGTTTTAGTGTCATACTGTATTAATGAGACTAGATTTTCAGTCAAATTCTCATTTTTTTCTCAGTAATAAGATATACACCAATGTACACATGTAGGCATATTGTAACACTGGACTAATTAATTATATCACCTGGTATAACTAAGTTAGTCTAATTACCTATCAGTGTATACATTTCATGAGATTTGAGATTGAAATATGGTTATTTGTGCCAATTTACTTTGTTATTTCTAACGATTTGTAGTAATTTAAATCTGAAATTTGTATTCCAGTAGAAAACATGTACATTTACTAACACAATGATTTTCATCAAGTTCTTTTAACAAAACGTATAATGTGACATGTCTGTAAAACAATATGTTTTAATTTTACAGAAAATGCCAATGATATTCCAGCAGTACATGCCCAACACATTCCCGACGAGCCTATAGAAGAGCCAGTATCACCCCAGCAACCAACGCAGCAAAACACAGGTGGCGATAAGGGCGTGTGTGCGCAAGCCCTCTATGATTATCAAGCTGGTAATATATAGTTTTTTCATATTTCAAACCTTGACTCACTGAGTTTCTCAAATGGACTTGCTCAGCTTGCATTTTTGATCTGTCCAGTTGTCAATTTTGGGGATATCAAAATGGAAATTTAAGTTAGTCAACCAACAGTATGAATCGTGATCAGACCGCCCTCGTGGCAAAAGTTAATTTATCACTTTTGGTTCCCGCAGAGTAAGTGTTAGTATGATTTACCATACAGAGTGTTATTTCTTCGGTGAGAAATGTTCGCAAGATAAGTGGCGAGGTTTTATTTTTGCATAAATGGCAGTGATGCTGGTTTTTTTTTTTTGAAACTCAGTAATCAACATTCAAGCACACAGCAGGGTTGCATTTGATGACATGTCCTAAGTCTAAAATCTGTCTGAAGACCAAAACTGTGTCAAATTCTGTTTCATACTTATGACTCCTATGACTCTTTTATTTTCTGAATAGAAATGTTAATATGCATTTACACATTGTGCATAAAAGGGTCTGTAATTGTATTTCTTAACTTTTCTCAGGATAGTCTACAGTATTTGACTTGAGATAAAATGTTCATTTGTTCTTTGAAACTGTCTTAAGTTTGTCCTAAAGTTGGTTTTATGTCCAAGGACTTAGAATACACATTTTACTTTCTATGAAATGCAGCCCAAACTTGTGACAAGTGAAGTAACTGTGGGGCAGAGAAAATTTTCGTAATGTAAGGGAAGTAACTGTGACAATGACAGACATAAAGGATAAGTAATTATAAAGATATAGGGCAGTACAGATGAATAAGAATGCGGGCAAAAAAGTTTTGTTACTATAAAATATTTCATTTATTCTTCCAGCTGATGATACAGAAATCACCTTTGACCCTGATGATATTATTACCCAGATTGAACAAATTGACGAGGGCTGGTGGGTAGGCAATGCACCGGACGGAAGTCGTGGGATGTTTCCGGCAAATTACGTAGAAGTTTTTGAAAGCTGAGTTTGATCAGCATATCTGTGAAAATAAATGTGGTGTTGAAATTGAGAAATTACATGTATATGTTTAACTGTTTGCTACATTTCTCCAAATGGCATCTTGTATTATTTAGTTATATACATCATGATTTTTTTTTTATTTTATGGTGCTTTCTTCATGAGAGATTTCGTGGAAGACAACCTTTTACTTGCGCCTCTTAATCTCTTAAGTTGCTTTCTGTTAAAACCATTGAAATATACATTGTATAAAAGTGAATGAATGTCACCGATTTCATGATATATGGCATTATTTTGTTAAGTGGATTTTGATAATTTCAACATTTTTCATTAGGCAAGGTGCAGTTTTTTATTTCTTCACTGTCGAAACACTTAAAAAATTGTTATTTCAAATAACTTGCTATTTAAGTGTGTTATGTCAAGCATCATATATGTAGCATTTTTCTTTGTGTTTGTAAGTTATCATATGCAATCAGTATGAACAAGATTATATTGATATTAAAATTTTAATTAATACATGGAGGAGCACCTGAGGTCTTCTTCCACCAGTAAAGCTGAATTGTTGCCATGTGACCTATATTGTGTTGGTGTGAAGTAAAACCAAACCAATGAATAAAAGAGATATTTAATTATAAATTCAATTATTTATATGCTACAGAAGTGCTGTTTCATATCATATTATCTAGATTTTTTGTAATTTAATAAAATAATTAGATTAATGAGATATGCTGAGCATGCTTGTGATTTTTATGCAAACTTATTTTTTATACAATGTATATTAAGATAATGTTTTTATGTTATATTATTTTTTTTGCTACATGACTTTCATGTTTTTTATTTCATAACCATTGATATGAGGCCATATTTAACAATTTGTGCTCAATATAATGCTTTTGGGTTTTTTTCTTTTCAGATATGTCTTTTAAACAAGTTCATTCCAGGTCATCAGAAATTAGAGTTTTTGCCAAAATAATTTCAGCAAAATGATTTAAAAAATCCTAAATTGGCCATTATTTTGACTCACTATCCTAATATCACTATCTTTTGATTTAAAAAAAATAGTTTGATGAACCCTGGATTTCTTTCCAAAAAACATGAAAAAAAAGAAGAGCTGACAGACAGATGAACATTGTGATTTTAATATGCCACACTTCGGGGGCATAAAAGCACTGCATAGTCAGATCAATTATGAAAGAAATAAATGTGTAGTTTGCTTTGTATAAATAAGGTATGTTTAATTTAGGTGATTATATTTTTTTAATTTTTTTTAGTTCAATCATATAATAAATGATATAATTTCATCCTTTATCACGTACATAATGATGAAGGTGGAAAAAAAACTACACCATTGTTTTTTTGTTGACAAGGTAGGAATATTATTTAGAACAAAACAGGTTATTTGTATTATGGCACCTCTGGCAGCATTTCTGTCACTGTAACCAGATCTGTTATTTCAGTTCGGCTGTCATTTTTCACATAGATTATTATTTCACCGTCGCTGTAACATTATACTGTGCTATGTATGTGACATCTATAAAATATTTTAGGCTTTTTATGTGAAGAGAAAGCTTGAGTATTTGTTAAAATGAGCCGTGTCATGACAAAACCAACATAGTGGGTTTGCGACCAGCATGGATCAAGACCAGCCTGCGCACCCGTGCAGTCTGATCAGGATCCATGCTGTTCGCTTTCAGTTTCTTTACTTGTAAGCAGACAGGATGAATCCTGATCAGTCTGCGGAGATGCGCTGGCTGGTCTGGATCCATGCTGGTCGCAAACCCACTATGTTGATTTTGTCATGACACAGTTAAAATGATGCTGTTGAAATGCAAATACTATTTGGGATCAAATTTGTCATGTCAGTCAATGACTGTTTTTAACATTATGAATATATACATGTATATAAGTACTCTTAGTAATGACAATGTGTTTATTTAAAAATGTCTAGAAAAACATGTAACAATATTTTGTCTAAATTGTTTATTACATAACTGGAACTCTTAAAAAGTTGTGTGATTTTCAAGGCTTCTCACCATGCTTGCAATGTGGAACTGTCCAGTTGTAATTTTTGGGTTTACAATAACAAAATATTGAAATTAAACCTTGACTTGCTGAAATTATTAAATGGACTTGGCCAGCTTTCATATTATGAAATTTAAGGATAAATATTTATGGTAGTCTGCCAACAGTAAAGAGGTTAGTCGGCTAACAGTATTGAGGTTAAACGCGGCCAACTGTTTAGAGGTTAAACGCGGCCAACTGTTTAGAGGTTAAAGGCGGCCAACTGTCGTTAGTCAATGTGTCTGGATGTTCAGGCTGGCCTGCCTGTATACTAATGCCATGAGGCAAGTCGTTATCACACATTGTTGTTTTCCTGCTTCTTATCTGCTTCTTATTTTGTCAGTAGCTGACTCAGTGATAATTGTGTTCAAATTTAATCTGTTAATGCTCGTCAATTTTTTTTTTTCATTGTTAATCAAGTCTTGCCTGATGAAAGCTTTTTTTGGCATTTAATTGTTTATTTTTTGGTTTCAGTGTAATTTTTTCTACAAATGAATTAATTAACTCCTTGGACCGTTTTAGGAATGTCTGTTATGTATATGGTGACTAAGTTATTAAATAGAACATGGGGTTCCAGTGTTTAAAGTACTTAGTACCTGTTTTTCAAGTCGAGGACCCTGGTTTGAAGCCCTGCTTGGGCCATAACAATGCTTCCATGACATCAGTACTTGTTAGTCCCAGGAAGTGGACTCTCTTTAGTTATTTCTACGAAGTTGCAAAAATTTGTTTCATAGTTGTGTATTGATATATAAAAAATGATTACATTTAAAAATGACTTTTTTATACTGGTGGTTTCATTTCTACTATAAAACCCCAACAAAAAAAACCCAACTTTTTGTTATCTTATTTTCAATATTGATGACTAGCTTTCAAGTGCAAATATTATGTTAGAATGATAGTAAATGGTACATGTATATATCAATCATCAGTGATAAGTGTCATGTCTATGATTTACAAATTATATCTGTTTTTATATACAATTTAAACATGATATATTGATGTATGGTTTGTCTTTTTTTCAATTCAATTTATGATTTTTTATTACAATTCTTTTGAACTTTTAATTTGTCTTTTCTGTCTTATAAGGAAACTGTTTAATTTAAAGAAATGATCAAATTTATGTATGTGATGTATTTGTATATTTGTTTAATCTCTATAGCAGTATTCAACCTCGAAATCCTTTGTCTCAAATATGGTTTAAATTCAAATTGTCCCATCTGATTTATAAATTTACTGACATTGTCAAAATGAGCCTAAAAAAAAATTTTTGAGAATATGATAAAGAAAAAAGCAACAATTTCTTTTAATTAAATGCGAATTAAAAGTGTACGGGGGTTTTAAGAAAAATTTGGTCTAATATTTTTACTAAAATAATTAAGTGAAATTATGTACACACCCTAAATAGATTTTTATAAAAATACTGTTGAATTTTTTAAATAGTTTATAATTTTTAGATTAAAATATTATTTATAATATAAATGTATATATAATAGACTAAGTCACTCTTTCACTATTTTGTAAAGAAATATTTTATAGGACATATCTATTGTTTTTATCAATATTTAAAAAAAAAAACAATTTATGGAAAATCTGCCTGTTATAGACCAATCCACTTTAATTAAAAAAGTCCTAATTTTGAGTAACTGACTGTTATACTCCTCTCCAAATTTCTTGGAGTAATTCATAAATATGAGAAATAAAGGATTTCAAAAGATAGCAATGTTAAGCTTTATGTGTAATGGTTTTTTAGTAAATATAAGTGTGATATTTTACTGAATGATAAAATAAGATTTGTATGTGTGATTACTGTAACATTGCAAGAGTATAAGTGGGTTAAAATTTATAAATTTTTATACATTTCTACTTGTATGAGAATAATGTATATTTTACAATGTGATGGAATAAAAACCATTAATAAACAACTAATTTTAAATAACTTCAGCTTGTTTTTATAATTGTTTCAGATTTCTATAGATATACATGTTATTATGCCCCCACTTCGAAGAAGAGGGGGTATATTGCTTTGCACTTGTTGGTCCGTCGGTCCGTAGACCAAATGGTTTCCGAGTGATAACTAAAGAACCCTTAGGCCTAGGAACTTCAAACTTGGTATGGTGATTGGTCATGACCAGTAAATGACCCCTATTGATTTTGGGGTCAAGGGGTCAAAGGTCAAGGTCACATTGACCTTGTAAGCAAAAACAGTTTCTGATCAATAACTAAAGAACCCTTAGGCCTAGGAACTTCAAACTTGGTATGGTGATTGGTCATGATCAGTAGATGACCCCTATTGATTTTGGGGTCAAAGGTCAAGGTCACATTGACCTCTTAGGTAAAAACGGTTTCCGATCAATAACTAAAGAACCCATAGGCCTAGGAACTTCAAACTTGGTATGGTGATTGGTCATGACCAGCAGATGACCCCTATTGATTTTTGGGTCAAGGGGTCAAAGGTCAAGTTCACATTGACCTTGTAGGTAAAAACGGTTTCTGATTAATAACTAAAGAACCCTTGGGCCTAGGGACTTCAAACTTGGTACAGTGATTGGTCATGATCAGCAGATGACCCCTATTGATTTTTGGGTCAAGGGGTCAAAGGTCAAGGTCACATTGACCTCTTAGGTAAAAACGGTTTCCGATCAATAACTAAAGAACCCATTGGCCTAGGAACTTCAAACTTGGTATGGTGATTGGTCATGACCAGCAGATGACCCCTATTGATTTTGGGGTTAATGGGTCAAAGGTCACATTGAACTTGTAGGTAAAAACGGTTTCTGATCAATAACTAAAGAACCCTTAGGCCTAGGGACTTCAAACTTGATATGGTGATTGGTCATGATCAGTAGATGACCCCTATTTATTTTGGGGTTAAGGGGTCAAAGGTAAGGTCACATTGACCTTGTAGGTAAAAAACAGTTTCCGATCAATAACTTAAGAACCCTTAGGCCTAGGAACTTCAAATTTGGTATGGTGATTGTTCATGACCAGCAGATGACCCCTATTGATTTTGGGGTTAAGGGGTCAAAGGTAAGGTCACATTGACCTTGTAGGTAAAAAACAGTTTCCGATCAATAACTTAAGAACCCTTAGGCCTAGGAACTTCAAATTTGGTATGGTGATTGGTCATGACCAGTGGATGACCCCTATTGATTTTTGGGTCAAGGGGTCAAAGGTCAAGGTCACATTGACCTTGTAGGTAAAAAGGGTTTCCGATCATTTAACTAAAGAATGCTTAGGCCTAGGAACTTCAAACTTTGTATGATGGTTGGTCGTGACAAGCAAATGACCCCTTTTGAATTTTGGGTCAAAGGTCAAGGTCACATTGACCTTGTTAGTAAAAACGGTTTCTGATCAATAACTAAAGAACGCTTAGAGTTAGCAACTTCAAACTTGGTATGGTGATTGGTCATGGCCAGCAGATGACCCCTATTGATTTTGGGTCAAAGGTCAAGGTCACATTGACCTTTTTGGTAAAAACAGTTTCCAATCAATAACTAAAGAATGCTTAGGCCTAGAAACTTCAATCTTGGTATGATGATTGGTCATGGCCAGCAGATGACCCCTATTGATTTTGGGGTCAAGGGGTCCAAGGTCAAGGTCACATTGACCTTGTAGGTAAAAACGGTTTCCGATCAATAACTAAAGAACGCTTAGGCCTAGGAACTTCAAACTTGCTATGATAATTGGTCATGACCAGTAGATGACCCCTATTGATTTTGGGGTCAAGGGGTCAATGTCACATTGACCCTGTACTTAATGAAGGTTTCTGACCAATAACTCAACAACTCAAGTTGCCTTGGTTGATATTTTTATATTGAACTAAAAATGCTTTTGGTAAACACATTTGAAGGTCTTATGTAATATAACAACTTGGCTGTTATTAATGAGGCCTACATGATTCATAAAATTTATGCATATATTATTTGGTAAGATTTGTAATAACTTTGTCATAAAATTGCTGAACACAACCTATGCGGTCACAATAATTTTTACCTAGTGACTAGTAATGACCAGTAGATAACCTTATTGATTTTTTGTTCACTAGGTCAAAAGTCAGTCATAATTACCTGATCACATGACTAATTGGCTGCTGATAGGGGGCATACATGTTTTACAAACATATCTTGTTTTTGTCGTAGTTGGAACCCTTAATTCTTATTTTTAAACGCCCATTTGAAAAACAGGTCATAGTGCCCCCTCCCCAAGCAGGCAGGTGGCGTCTACAACTTTGTCTGGAGCATATCTCCTACTTAAATTGCTGCACACAACCTATGGGGTCACAATAATTATTACCTTGTGACTAGACATGACAAGAAGATACTAGATAACCCTTATTAATTGTTTGTTCACTGGGTCAGAAGTCATGCATAATAACCTGATCACATGACTAATTGGCTGCTGATAGGGGGCATACATGTTTTACAAACATATCTTGTTTCTTTAGTTTTAAAATGCCTTTCATCAAGACTAGTATAACTTGTCCCCATGACTTGACTGGATTGGGTTTTTTTTACTTTTTTTTTTTTTTTTTTGGAAAAAAAATAGAGGAATTGCTATAGTTGGTGGCGTTGGTTGCCGTTCCTGTCTGCAAACTTGTACCTGGATCATAACTTTTTTATTTCTTGGTGTATTGTCTTCATACTTGGCCACAACAACCCTTGGGACAAGACCTTTCAGTAGACCACACTAACCTTGACCTTCATCCATAAATGACCTTGACCTTCAAGGTTAAAAGTCCAAATTTTGCTTGTTCATGCTGTTATTGGCTGTAACTTTTATCATTTTTGAATGGATTGTCTTCAAACTTGAACATTATAATCTTCAAGGATAACCCTTAAAAATAACCAGACAGACCTTGACCTTCACTCATTAATGACCTTGACTTTGAAGTTAAAATTATTGAAATTTTCATTGTTTAGGCTGTAACTGGCTGTAACTTTGCTATTATTGAAGGGATCGAGTTCATATTATAACAGAACATTCTTAAGGACAAGAACTTTTTGTTTATCTAACACTTGGGCTCTTTTAATGACCTTGACCTTGAAGGTTAAATTACTGAATTTTCTCATACTTGTGCGTTAAATGACCATATATATTT